GGGCGCGGGCTCTGCCCCGGCTGACCGCGCACCGTGCCCTAGCCTCGGCCTGTGACACTCCTCGTGTGTTCTCTCCCTCAGATCGAGTGCATGGTCGCGGCCGAAATTATGCAGAGATATAAAAAGCTGCAGTTTGAAAGAGGTAGGCGCCCCTGCGACGAGCCAGTTACGGTGCCTGTGACAGCATCCGGGTGATTGGGGGGCATGTTTCCCTTGGGTAGGATTGGGCGTCATTTGGCTACAACGGGGGGAAAAGGGGCGGGAGTTCTGGCAGTCGGCCGTCAGTCTGACCTCTGACAAGCCGAGTTGGAAGGCCCGTGGGATCCACGTGGTAGCAGGAAAGAGCTAATGACCAACAATCGTCGGGAGGGATGTGGGCTTAGGGGCTGGGACCCTCCGGAGCGTTGTTCCTCAGCCAGGTTAAGGCCCAGCAGTTTGAGGGCGAAACTTTCAGACCTGCACTGAACGTAGGAGAGGCAGGCATGGCGGGAGGCCTGAGGCTAAGACGGGAGTGTGACCAACACCTTCCACCCAAAGCGTGGCCTTCCCCTGCACTCACTGTCCCGCTCCTGAGGCCTGGACTCCCAAGTGCTGTCTTATCTCCGTAAGTTTACAACAAACAGCCCTTCAAGGTCGTCCTGTCTGTTAAACTGACACCCCAGAGGCTAACGGACGCACCCTGATTTCCATCTCTAGTGGGGGGTGGGGTGGGGGGTGGACTGGAGCCCTTCCCAGTGCCTGCCCTGCCCTCCTGGCTGGCGCCCAGCCTGCCCTGACCCAGGTTCTCCAGGACCAGGGGGTGGAGGAGCTGTGACAGTGATAACAGTGTTTGTGAGATGACCTTGCAAGTGTCACAACATTGCAGTGTCAGGGCAGGGCCTTATCTTTGCTCTCTGACGTAGGTCCTACCACAGGGATTTAAAGATTCTGTGGATTCCCCTTGGCCTCGTTTATGTGTTTATGTCCTGGGCCTCGGGCTCCTCTGAAGGGGGGCGGGGTGACTGACATGTGTAGCGGATGCTCCTTTTGAAAACTTGGTTGTGAACATGCCCAAGTCTAAAACTCCTACCTCGGTTTGTAACCACTGAGGTCCGCTCTCCTGACCTCGATGGGCTCTCAGGTCCTTGTCCACATCAGGCGTCCACTCCCGAGATCCAGCCCCGGCTCTGGGTGTACAGGAAAACCGTCCAGATGGGGGTGAATGCAGAGTAGGCCAGAGGGGTCCAGATGGGGGTGAATGCAGAGTAGGCCAGAGGGGTCCAGATGGGGGTGAATGCAGAGTAGGCCAGAGGGGTCCAGATGGGGGTGAATGAAGCATAAGCCAGAGGGGTCCAGATGAGGGTAAATGCAGAGTAGGCCAGAGGGGTCCAGATGGGGGTGAATGCAGAATAGGCCAGCGGGGTCCACATGGGGAGTGAATGCAGAATAGGCCAGAGGAAAGAGTCAGGAGTCTCCTGTTCAGCTAAATGTGAAACATTTTCTAGTGTGTGATTTTTAAAAGAAATACTAAAGATATTTCCTCTTGAGGATTACTTCCCCCCCAAAAAGGAGTGTGACGCCAACTTAAAAAAACAAAAACATTGGCTTTTGATGGCATTAAAATTTCCTTTCAAGAGCTTGTTTATTTAAACGGCATCTATCATTTGGTTTTGACAGTCTGTAACTTAACTGTGATGCTGTGCGGTACACAAGTCAGTGTGTGGAGCTATAAAAGTGATTAATTTGGATTCCTGAGACTTTCAGGCTCTTCGGAAAACATTTTCCAGGGAGAATCTGGACAGAAAGTGGCGGTTATTTGGGTTCTAAGAAAATGAACTCTCTGTGACATCGAGTTTGATGTAAAAGGGCAGCCGGGTGAATGTCCTTCCTAATCATGGTAGCTGTTATTTCTCCAGTACTTCGGCTTTAGTCAAAGAGGTTTTGTTTCTTTTGCATAAGAAGGAAGCCAACTTGACTCAGGTTAAAAAAAACACATCTGTCTAACCTATTACTTTAAAATGTTTTGTTAACATTACAGTTAAAAGCCAACACAAATGGGCTCAGACTTACTATGACTAAAGACCTGTCTGAATGAAATGCTAACATGTTAGAGATACAATGTAGCCATTGATTATGCCCAGTCGCCCAGCAGGTTTGGAGATAGGATCAGAAAACACGTTCTGTTTCTTTTTCTTTGCCATGTGGTCCGCGGAGGATGCCCTGGGAGAAAACTCAGGGGGTTCCATGGTTTTCTGAGAACATTTATATCCCCAGGTATCCCGTGGCTGGTTTAAGTTGCCGAGGCCGTCTCCGTTGGTCTAGAGTGCCCCGCCTGATGGTGATAGGAACCCGAGGGGTCTCACTGGAGCCGCGTGGTCCCTTTGGGCTCCCGGGCAGACCAGCACTAACTCGGTGTGAAGTTGGAATTCTGTCCATGTGCTGTATGATGTTGGACATGCAGCACCCATATCGCCTGCAGGGCCCTTCCTGGGTGTGTGCACCTGGGGCGCCCCCGGGGTGCTGGGCAGAGCTGGGCTCAGGCTCCGCACACACCAGCAGGGAGGGTGGACAGGGCTGCTAGGTACCCTGCAGGACTTTAATTCCCGAAGAGGATGTGGGGACGTCTCCTCTGACACTGAGACCTTCCCAGGACCCCCCCCCCTCCCAGCACCCAGCCCAAGCATCCCTCCCTCCTGTCCCCTGTCCCCTCAGCTCAGGCCAGCAGGCAGCTGCCCCAGGCGCTGTTCCCTGAGGCAAAGGCCAAATTTTCCCATAAAGCCACCTCCTGGGATCCTAGGAAAGCAGGATTGAAACCATGAACTACTAATAATTACGCTCATTCACTCGCTGTGAGCATGAAGTTACATTGTTACGGTGCAGATCACTGCGAGAGCAGCCGTTTTCCTGAATCCCAGAGTCCTTTATACCGTCAAGTCCTTCTCAGTCTCCTGCCAGGCCAACCAATGAGATAGTTTTATGCCATTGATTGATTCACCTTAAAAAAAGAAAGGCAGAAGGGGGAGTTAGATTAGATCAGTAGTTGGCCAACCATGACCAGTGGGACAAATCCACCCAGCCCCCGGCCCGGTCTTGTTAATAAAGTTTTACTGGAACGCCATTTATGGGTCACCGTGGCTGCTCCAGCCCCAGAGCGGAGCAGCTGGACAGAGTCCGAGGGCCCTCAGAGGCTGGACTCTCACCGTCTGCCCTTCACAGAAACGTTTGCCCGCCCCTGGAGTCGACCATCTGATGGTTTGCACGCTTGCTCCTGGAGGGCTGGACCTGGCTTCCTCGGTGACCTGGGTAACGTGGCAAACACACGTGTCCCGTGGCAGCCTGCAGGGTGCAGCCACGTCCAGCTCCAGCCCGTGCAGACCACAGCGAGGGCAGGTCCCGTTTCTGATGTGGGTGAGCTGGGCTGCCTGGCTGGCGGCCGGCCACACGGCCCAGGAGCTTGTGAGGCCCTTCGCTGCTGTCCAAGTGTCCCAGAAGATGCAGTTGTCTTAGGTTACTTCCCAGGGCGGCCCTGCTGGAGAGCCGAGAAGCTCGCGGCCTGCTTGCCGGCCGTGAAAGCAGCCCCGTGGTGCTCTGGCGGGATCCAGTGTCCCAAGGTTTCCTGTGGGCCCGAGTCACCCTGCAGAAGGGGGAAATGAGACCCAAAACCTGGCTCACAGGGCGGGAGGGGGAGCTCAGACCCATTGTCTAAAGAAGTGAGGCTCTGAGCCGGGGTGTGAAGAAGCAGCAGCCTTGGGGTGTCCTGTTTTCCAAACCAACTTCCTAACTAATTTCACTCAGGCCGGCTCCTTAGCAACTTGAGGTCCGCGGGATGGGAACCTGGACATCACAGAGGAGTCAGCTAGTGGCTGAGGTTCAGGTTGGGGAGGGAGATGGTCTCAGGTGGATGGGCCCTGGATGAGAGGAAGTCAGCCCCTCTCCCTCTTCTGAGGGCCGTCCCAGGGTCCCCGCGTGCCTCACTCCGGGCCGGGCTGTGGGGCTCCCAGACACGGCATAGGCCTGCCTCAGAAACCTGTGTCCCGGGGCAGGCACACGGGCAGGCGGTGCCCGGACGACGGTGTACAGGCTCTCGGAGGACCAGCAGGACCGCCCAGTGGCCACGGGTGTGTTGGGTGCAGGTGGCAGCATCCCTAAGGGACTCCAGGGGTGTGTGGAGTGGGGTCGGAGGCGGGCGATGCCTGGAGAGGAGGAGACGGAACCGGATGGGCACCTCGTCCTGTGTTGACTGGCCATTCTCAAGGTTAAAATGTGAGGCGCTGTGTCCGAGAGCCCCTAGGGCCCTCGTCTGCAGTCTGACCTGTCCCCCTTGTCCCCTGTGCCAGAGGTGCTCCTGGACCCCTGCCGGACGTGGTGCCCGGCGTCCACCTGCCAGGCTGTGTGCCAGCTCCAGGAGATGGGGCTCCAGACACCCCAGCTGGTGCAGTGCAAGGCCTGCTCCATGGAATTCTGCTCCGCCTGCAAAGCCAGCTGGCACCCCGGCCAGGGCTGCCCGGAGACCATGCCCATCACCTTCCTGCCCGGGGAGAACAGGTAGGCTCCCAGCCCAGGGGCAGGGCTGAGGGGGGAGGGAGGGGAGGGCGTGTCCTCCCTAAAGGTGCCACGGGCACCAGTCCTTTCTCTGGAGTCCCTTTCACGCCTGGGCCGGTTGGTTTGCTCACTCCTTTATTTTTCAGACCTGATTATGGGGCAGACACCGTGCAGGGCCCTGGAAACACACGGGCGCGTAGGAAACGCCGCACTCTGACCGTCCAGAAAGGCAGACGTAGGGACGGTTCATTCCTGGGAAGGGCTCTGCGTCCTGATTTTTCCCAGACTCCATTGTTGAGCATGACCCGAAACGGGGGACAGGAGCAGGACAGGAGAAGTAGGTAGACGGTGGTTCTGAGTAGGAAAGATCCCCAGCAACCGGTTCCCGTGGCCACGTCTCCCGGAAGGTCGAGCCATCAGTCGCAGCTCTGTTCCTGCCCTCCTGTCCCTTCCTGTCCCCCCGTCTCCTGGTCCCTCAGCTGGGTGCCCTGGTGGGCACTGTGTCTCCATTCTTTAAATCTTAAAATTTGGTAGGTTGAACCATAAGAAACTGATAATATTCAGCTTTTTGTTGTTTTTGTCGTAAAAATGTGCAACGGCAAACGGTTCAGTTCATTAGAGTTGACCTTACACCTGTGGAGACCACGTTTCTAATAAACAAACTTCTACCATCTGCCCCAAGGTGTGGTCACCAACTGTTCCCCGCCTTCTTCTCTCCCCTTCCTGCTGTGCCCACCCCACTCCCCACAGCTGGACCCTCACAGCCACCCTCTCGGCATCCCTGGGACACCCCCCTCCTTGGTCCTGTGAGCACATCGGTGCCTGAGCTGGGAATGCCCATCTGTGCCCCCTCCTGTTCCTGGGACTCCTTGTCACTCTTGGAGCCTAGCTCATATCCCCTCCTTTGTTCAGCTTCCCAGTTCCCAGGGCAGAGCTGGTGACCCCACCCTGTGTCCCCGCTGGGAGATCACGAGTGTTGATTACAGTGCCAGACATATTGTGCTTTAGTTCATCTGTTTAAGTGGCTGACTCCTCCTGACGCCGTGGCCTGCGCTTGGGTTGAACTCTGTCACCCCAGATCTTGGCATACAGCAGGCATGCCCCCGCCCCCCCCCC